CTACTCGCTACTCGCTAATATCTACAAATCTAAAATTTTCAACGAAATAAGAAAACGGCGATTCCCACAAACCTTATCGCCTAATATTGAACTATTATTATATATATGTGTGTATCTACTATCTAACATAATACAATTTGAAAATATAATATTATCATTTATCATTATTATACTATTATATTATTTGCTATAATAATATATAATTTAATGAAAAACAATTTTTTTTTTTGGGGGGGGGGGGCTCAAGCCCCAAAGCCCTCCCTTGGGTGCGCCACTGAAAGAATCTATGGGATAAGGAATATATTGTATGATATATGGTATTAGGTATATCTGTATGATATATGAGTTAAAGTATATGGTATAAAGGGATAAGGTATAGTTATATTATGTGTAGTATCTATAGTATAAAGTCTATGGAAGAGTATAATATGTACAATATTTAAAAAAATGCACCAATTATTTTGATAACATCCAATGAAAATTAGTTTCATGAAACGCTCACTTTTTGTGCGTCAGATTGTAAAAATGAGTACTCAAAGACCTAATTCGATATTTTAGATAATTTAATGAACATTATCTTTGGACTGTTTAAAAAAATATAAGGAAAATTAAACGCATTTAGGTTTTAGACTATATAACTTAAAAAACATTAATACATTTTTTCTTGATCTATAATTATCAACTACCTATTTCTTAACAGTAATGTGACTTTGGTTTAGTTTATACAACTTTAATGTATAATATTGAAACCAACGGAATAGAATAAACGTCAAGTAAGCAAAAATAACAAGCAGTATAACTACAACAGTGATTATATCGAACAAAAAGTATTGGTACCAAGTCAGATTAAAAGCTTTAGAGTTCAAATGGGAAGCTCCGTTATGGCGAAGTACATATTCAAACCAATAGTTCACCATTTCTGATGGCGGAAGTGGACGATCCTTGAAGTGTTTCGAAACGATTTTTGCACGGATAGAGAACCTATACAAAGTAAATACAATTATGTATAAATTTCAACTTATTTTATAAATTAGCATAATTAAAAATAAATTGCCTACCTATTATAAATAAAGTATCCATGAATATTTAATTAATTAGGTATATGATATATGGTTCATATAAATAAAATAAAATATTTAAGATGATTTGCTCAATTTTACTATAATTTTTAAGATAATTATTAAGTGCATGACAAACTTAAAAATTAAATTAAATGTTCAAATTTGAGTACCTACATAAATTATTATAAAGATTAACCAGTTTATTTTATAGCTATTTAAGATTCAAATAATAAATTTGCGTATATATTATTGTGATCACCGAATGGATTTTATTGTACCTAACTACCTATACAAATAAGTAAAATAAGATTAAAATATATGACTAAAATAGTTAATTTATATTTAAGAAACAACACGTAATATTTTAATAAATTATAATATTTAAATTTTATACTTGCGAATATATTATTTAATCAATAAAAAATTTGCTGAATATTATAGTGGTAAATATTTACACTTAAGAACATTAAAGCATAACATAATGAATTGTTGGAGTATTAGATTATATTATGATATTATAATGGTGATACCCATTATTGTCAATAATGACCACGCTTAAAATGAACAACTGTCTCAAGTACTGATTGATCAAATAAAAATAATCGGCGATTTATCTACATTTATCTGTTTTGAATTGTAGACGGTAAGATTACTTTTATTATAAAATTAAAATTGAATTGTAAAAAACTATTTTTTTTATTATATTATTTTAAAGTAACGTGAAACCAATATGTTAATGATTTAATAATGGTACCTAATTTTAATGGTAATTGGACCAAATGACTGAATATCATTATTTAACGTCCATTATAGTAAGACCATTCATAAAAAAAATATAAATAATGTATTAAAATATATCCAACAATAAGCCATTTATAATAACACAGGATTACCTAATTAAATTCACTTACTTTTTATCATTTAAAAGCATGTTAATTTTTTCCAAAAACTCAATTTTATTAACAGTCAATAAGTCCATCGATAACGCCATTCCCGCGTCCACTAAATTACCCACATTTCTTGGTTGGTCATAAAAAAGAGGGAATCCAAGAATTGGAACTCCAGCGTCTACAGCTTCATACACTCCAGCTATTCCACCGTGGCTTATGAATAACTTTACATTTGGATGAACTAAAATTTAATTTTTATAAATTAATCACTTATAACTGCTTTGAAGAAATTTATATTTTCATAACTCACGAAGAATATCCCGTTGTGGGAACCATTTTCTGGTCATGATATTTTTAGGTAAGTCACTAATTTCACCGTCATACTTCCACAATACTCTTTGAGGAACTTGTGCAARCACTTCAATAAATGTTTGTAGAATGTGTTTTGGCAATGTTGCCATTGATGACACTGATCCAAATGTAAAGTATATTACTCCATGTGGCGAATTTTCAATAAATTCTAATATGTCCTGAATAATATAA